GAATTAGAAGAGAGGCTAGCAGGGCAGGTTTAAAAAAAAAAACAAAAAACAAAAAACAGTTAAAGAGGACGGGATAACTAAAGAGTCATCCTCCCAAAGTGACTGAATCTATGGTCCCAAACGCGACAGACCCCGCAGGGGAAGGGTTAACTGCAGACTCAGTAAAGCTGGGAAGTTCTGGAGCGAGCCCATCAAACAATGTGGCAAATCAGCAAAACTGGTTAGTTGTGAGCAGCGGTCTCCCCGAAATAGGCTCTCATTTATTTTTCATTTCTTCTGCTTTCCAGTCTCTTCTCTTTGAAGCAGCTCTTGATTAGTTTCTTTTTAATTGCCACTTAATTGGGAAATAAAATTAGAACGCTTATTTGATATCAGTGATGAGGTTTCTCTTTTCATTTCTGCTTTGATCTAGTTTTGAAAAACCAAAGCTGAAGGGAGAGATTAAGAAAAAGAAACTAAAAAGGTTTCTTCTTGCCAAGAGCTAGATGCAGCCATAAGCCATCAAATAAATAGGTAAAGAACCACTCGTGGAGAATATGAACAATAAGAAAAAAAAAAGCAAATAAGGATAGCCTATGGAATTCCTTTCAAAAAGACCTTCCTTTTCCCTTAAGTTTATTCATAAGGGATAGTAACTCATGATTGGGAAGTGAGGAAGACTTGTCATGACACATCTGAACCCACCCCCATGGGTGAGTACGGGAGCGGGGTGGAAAGCAGACACCCCTTCCCAAAGGGTTCTTGTCCCGGGGCTTAGCAGCTTCTCAACAGTGTGCACGACACGGCAAAACAGACTCCAAAAGAATCCCAGGAACAAAATAGCTTAAAGGTTCTTTCCTGTTCCAAACACTCAGATAAATTCCACCTATTTGGTACTCCAAAATTAAAATCTGCCCCGGCTGGTGGCTCAGTGGGTTGAACACCAGACTGTAAACCAAAAGGCTGCCGGTTTGATTCCCAGTCAGGGCACAGGCCTGGGCCGCCGGCCAGGTCCCTGGTTGGGGGCATGTGAGAAGCAGCTGATCTGTTTTTCTTGTACACGCACGCACACCACACAGTTTCTCTCCGTCTGTATCCCTCCCTTCCTCTATCTCTAAAAATAAATAAATAAAATATTTAAAAAATTAAAACCCACCAGCTGAGTGCACTCTCCCTCCGGGAACACGCCCGCACCTCTCCTTCCCCCTCCCCTTCCCCATGAAGCGTTATCTCCGCTGTCCTCCCTCCAGAGCTCCGCGGCCCTCCTTCTGCTTCTGCAGCTTGTTTCCCGAGCCTACGCAGCCCAGCTGGCCCCCTTCTACCACCTCTGTAATTTTCCCTCACAATATGAATTCCTGAGTCTGAATGTTTTCTTCGCCAAACTCACAAACCAAGGTCCAACCTCTCTGGTAACAACTGGTGCCACCTCGCAGCCAACACCTCCAGTAACAAGATGACCGGCCCCCACCACCTGGCCAACCACCCCCATGTCAGCCCCTCTCCCTGGAATGCCCCCTGCAGCTTGTTTTCCCGGGTGCACCCCAACCGACTGATACAATCTTTGCCAGGGGAAGTCATAAGACCAAGCCCCACAGAGAGAGGTTAAAAACAATCTGCCAGCTGACAAGGTTTATTCCGTAGTTGATACTTCTTGGAAAGCCTTTCACAGAAAACAAGCAAGCAAATTAAACCCGACAGGTGAAGCAGGAGCTGCAGGAGGATGTGGCATACAAGTCACCTCAGCCTGCCTCTCCTCTCAGTTGTCAGGGACTGACCACGTCAGGCAGGTGACCGCGGCGAAAATGCTGCTCCTTTCCTCTGCTGAGCGAATTTTTAAAACAGCAGCTGACACAAACACTGCAGACGGACGCATCGATACACACACGTGCTATGTATGTGCGCATGTGCACACCTATGTTCTCACACGCATATGAAATGTAGACTCACCCAATGTTTGGTCAGGGGAGAAACGCATGACAAGAAAAGCCAAGAACCAAACTTAGACACAGGAAGGAACCTAAGGAGCTGGCACAGCTGCATTTTCTATTATTCCAGGGCACGGACGCAGCTCATTTCGTTAGCACAAAGCACTGGGAGCCCACCCTGAAAGAAAAGCCTGAGAGAGTAAGGGTTGGTTTGGACTATCATTAGCTAATTGCCTATTATACTCGAGAGTCATTCGCATCAAAAGGAGATGCTCTCATTGAACTCAAAACATTTTCTGAAAACATTTCGAATAATACAAGACAAGAAAATGTTCAAGAAGCCAAAATGCAGTGGAAAACTGGAATACCACAGTAAACTCAAGGATCTTTGATTTCTGTACGTATTTCACAAAAACTGTAGTAAGGTTTACAATGAGATTTATTTGGGGAAAGAAAGTGTATAGGAAAAATCTGACATCCTTCCCCCTGGTGAGGAGAAATGAAACTCCACTAACATTGGGCTAAGAACTTTAACACTGGCCATTCAACCAGCCAGCGAGCACTTGTTAATGCAAACTAAGTACCAGGCATTGCAAAGACATGCACCCTCTTCTCAGGCACCTTACAGCCAGGTGAGGCAAGGACTGGACCCCCGTGTCACTGAACTAGTGTCATGACAGAAGCTCCGAAGCACACTGCCTGTGACAAGGGCAGGGAGGCGAGTTGGGAGGAGGACAGGGAAGAGCGGAAGACAGACTAGGAGGGAGGGGAAGACTGCATTCCAGACTTTATCTCACTTAATCCCTACAACTGAAGGCTGAGCAACTCTCCCAAGGTCACAGGACTGCTCAGTGTCAGAACCAGGCTTTGAATGACTCCCCAGTGTGCGCCTCCCCACCATGCCACGCAGCTTCTCCCCAGCACCCTGTGCCCCGACAACCAATGGAAACATGCCGACTCCCCTTCGGGACCTAAGTGCCAGGACTAGACTCTGCACTCTAGGCTGGGTCCTCCGTTTCCCACCTGCCACCTCCGAACTCCTTTATCAGAAAGACCCTCAGATTCAGGGTCTGCTCACCCAGACCACGACCACACACAAAACAAAAATCACTGAAAAAAGAAACGCCTTCAGTTTTCTAAGGTTACCACGTTGTTGTACTTTAATAAAACAGAACTTTCTGCCACGCAGTTCTGCAAAATGATTCACAGGTTATAGAGAACAGAACCCATTACAGAGCTACAGACACTAGTCAGAACAGCTTAGCAGGAGAAAAAACTACACAAAGAGCAAAGAAACTGGACTTTCACTTCTGAAATGACTTTCTAATTCAACAACTCCCATTTATGACTGGGATCTCTATTCAGAAGGGCTACACTTTCCCTTCTTCCTCTTCCTCCTACTTCCTCTTTCTCAGTTTTTTCCTTCTTAGGAATTTCAAACTTCACAATTAGGCTTTTACCGCATTAAACCTGTTGTGACTTACACCAAAACAACATAGTCTCATGAAATCAAATTTGACAAGCTTCCTTTTCCTCTACCTTCCCATCAGAGTGTCCTGCCAATGTGCCAAGGTTGCCAGTTTAATCTCCCTGGGGCACACAGAAGAATGAACCAATGAATGCATAAATAACTAGAAAAGCAAATGGATGTTTCTTTCTCTATCAATAAATTAAAAAATAAATTAATTTTTTAATTAACATAAAAGATCTTTTTTAAATTTTTTATTTATTTATTTTTAGAGAGGGAAGGGGGGGAGGGAGAGAGAGAGAGAGAGAGAGAGAGGGAGGGAGGGGGGAGAGAGAGAGAGAGAGAGAGAGAGAGAGAGAGGGAGGGAGAGAGAGAGAGAAACATCAATGTGCGGTTGCTGGGGGCCGTGGCCTGCAACCCAGGCATGGGCCCTGACTGGGAATTGAACTTGCAATGCTTTGGTTTGCAGCCTGCACTCAATCCACTGAGCTACGCCAGCCAGGACATAAAAGATCTTTTAACCTAAGAGTTCATCACTGGAAGATTATAAACCGCTTTAATAATCCTATGTCCTCCCATCTCTACAAGACAGCAGGATTTTTTAGAAAGTTTATCCAAAGGTCTCAACCCTACCTTACCTCCAGAATACCATTAATACCGCAAATGACAAGATGGCTACAAAAATCAGACCACAGATTCGGGGCAGAGGTTATACATACAAAACAGTCTCTCCTGACCTTACCTTTAAAAAAAACACATATAGAGAAAGTGAGCGCCAGCTTCAGCCACTGTAACAATGTGAAGAAAGAGGAATGATAGGGTGTGGCTCACAAGAGTGAAAACTGATTTGGGAACAGAGCTCAGCACTCGAACACTCGAAACATTTTTGCTGCGGAAGGAACAAATAGTTACTAGTAGGCAACACCCTATAGTACAGGAGATGCAGTGCTAAACCCACCTCCAAACACGCTCCAAGAAGTATCATCGCTCAATTTCTTGCAGCTTGAGGCTACTTTGCAAACTTAACAGAAGCAATATGCTGGAAGACCTAATTATCTATTGTTCAGGAAACATGGATTTGGAGCAACAGGCACTGTATACCTCGAAACATTATCATATAGTAATTACGCAGGGTTTATAAGGTGAGTTTAAACCTTGAGATCCTCTGGTAGCAACATTTTACAATATAATTATGGTTTGTATAGCCTGAATTTCCTCATTGAAGATGAACTGCAGCGAAACGTTTTATTACTCATTTACTGCTGGTCACGTTGTTCGCACAATACCTCTCTAAGTTAACATTCCCTTTGAACTGTACTGTTATACTGACCTGTGTTGTGCCATCTAAAACCACCATCCTACAGGCTCTTTTCCCAGGACGAGCCTGAAGCGCACACAGAAGAACTTTTATATAATAAAAGTATTGAATGTCTCCGGCCCTTAATATACTAGGCATCCACCTCTGGTAAACGACAAGGACAAACACCAATCACCGGGCAGGATCTCAATGTCTCAGCCAATGAGAATATGGGGGCGGGGTTACACTAAGCTCCCGGTGACTTCCCCGCACCCCAGAGAACCAGGTTGTGGGAAGCTGGACAGGAATTGAACTCCGAGAATCTCCTTACCCCCGGTTGTAGCTGTTGTCCTCCTCGTTCTCGCAGTCGCTGCAGTGCTCATGGCCGTTTCCGTTCCCTTCCATCATCTGCGGCCGCGGAGGGGCCGGCGACTTCACTGCTGTCTCACTCTCGTCCGCCATCTTCTGTTCCGAGGGCCGGCCTCCAAGCCTCGCTACATGGGGGGCTCCTATTGGACGAGGGAAACTGGCGCTATATTCTGGGTTTTGTAGTTTTTGTGGCGAAGAGAGCCGTAAGTAGGCGCGGCTCATTCCCGGGAAACCGGAACAAGATGGACTACAATACCCAGAAATTACGAGGGGAGGCTGTCTTGGGTCGGGGTCCCGCGGCGCTCGGAAGCCCGGTGCGTTCCGCCGCGCTTTAAAGGCTAACCCTTGCGACCCCGTGAATCGTATAGCATGCTGGGATTTGTAGTTCCATGCTCGTTTTGGGTTTCGTCCGTGGAGGCTCCAAAATCCGAGCTTTGACCTCAGCCTGCCCTTGCTAGTGCCTGGGCCGTAGGTGAGCCGTTATTGACTGCCGTTAAGAACTGTTAGCATTTCCGGGTAAGTAAGAGAGCCTGAGACCCGGGGGCGTGTCCCACCGGCAGCCTGAATGCATCAGGCCTTCTTAGAGGGGCTTTCCTGCAAGAACCCAGGTTGGCTCCTGGCCGCCTTCCTTAAGGCCTCCCGCGAGATGGTGGATGGTGGTGTGCGGAGCCCTGATTCAGACCCGGGAGACTTGACTGCCCCGTCAAGCCTACCCTCTTCTGGACCTCCAGGTATCGGTCCACGAAGCTCTTCCGCGCACAGCGCTGCTTTCATTCTCCGCGGCAGCCCTCCACTATTACTCTTAAATGAGCCCTTATATACCAGGCTCTGTGGTAAAGATTTTCGAGCTTCTTTTTTAATCTTCTCAACAAACCTAGCATGTGGGCTCTGTTCCTTTTTTTTTTTTTACAGACGAAGAAACGTGGCTCAGATTAGTTGGTAAATTGCAGTCACATAGCTAATAAGTGACAGGATCAGTATATGAATCTTAATCTGCCCTTAGGCCTGCTTAATTCCTTACCACTACAAAAATTCCATCGTCTCATACATCTACCCGGGGAAACCAGGAATTAGAAGGTAATTGCAACGTCTTAATCTGTTTTTAGCCCTGATTGAATGCTTCAGCCTCCTGGGTCTCACCCTGTGATTGACTAATCACACCTGAGTTTTGTTTGGTTGTTTAGAAACTTGATTCAGATGAATAGTTTGCAACCCAGGGAAACACAGCTTCTGCTGAAAATCGAAAGTGTGCTCTGATACCGTGAGTTTTGAGGAGACAGCCCCAAGACGTGGTTCCAGTTCTAGGAAGTTTCCTGTTCAGGTTGGGTTGCAGTGGGTGATGAGGGAAGGAACTTCTTAACCTCAGAGAACTTCTTGGCCAAAAAGGGAAATGATCTTTGCTTTGGAAAAACGTTCACCATGGTAAGAAACAGCTCCCCTCTGCCTCAAGGAAACAAATAAAACAGAGCTAAGTATTGTCAACTCTTAGTTTTTATGTCAGTGGCCAGAGTGGAAGTAAATATGATTCAAATCAGGTAATCTCCAATTATTTATCTTTGACTTTGGAAGGCAGTCAAAGACACCTGCTCAGGCTGAGAGCCATCCCCCACACTCCTTACCTGCCTCCTTACCTGCAGCTGCGGGCAAGTGGAGGAGGTCAGAGGTGATCATAGTAAAGCTTTCCATGTGTTAGTTTCGCCTATTGTAGCTCATGTGACCTTGTGAAGTAGGTAGGGAATGGGACTTGAAGAAAATTGTGCTTGGGGGAAAAAAAATCGCAATGATATCTAGTTGCAGAACCAGAACTAGAACATCTGGTGTTCTAGTTTCCAGACCTGCGTTTTCCTTTCTCACAGACACACAGAGGTTACATGAAGGCTAATGACACGTGACAGCAGGAATAAAGGTGCTGGTTTCTGTGGACTCTGCCATTCTCGTGGTTCGAAGCTTGAGTGAGGCAGTCTGCCTTGCGTGGCTGCTGCAAACTGAGCCGGCGTTGCTCCGTGGTGAGCCTTTCCTGGGAGGCAGGCAGGCAAGCAAGCAGGCAGTGGGACCCTAACTGAGCTCAGAATGCAAATACAAGGCCAAAGTCCTGGAATGCAGCACCGCTGAGAAGCTCAGAATTGGAAGGGATCTAAGAGAGGCTCTCATTCCCTCTCTCTTAGGATTTTTCAGGTTAGAATCTTCTCAAATGTTGTAGGATCCATGATGTCTCTGCAATAAAATGTAAACTTTTTGTTTTTAAAAATGAATGTATGTGACTTTTTTATTTAATGACCACTTGGTAACTGAGTATCACCATATGTGATTTTGGTGCCTGAGTTTGTTGTTGGGCTCACAGTCACAGTGCAATGTAGAGTTTCCTACATTTGGTCTATGAATGCTCTCTTGGGGTTTCAAGAGTTCTCATATGTGTCCTTCCCCACTCCCTCCTAAAAGACAGCCTTCCTCTTTCAGACAGCTCTTCTTGGTGGAAAATTGGCCAAGTTCTGCTTTATGGGGTTATGTAGAAACATATAATTCTATGTCCTTGTAGGTAGTTGTTACATTTTCTACAGTTAATAGCTGCTTCCCTAAAATTCTTATTTTTTTCCAAGGTGAACATTCCCAGCTTTCTGAGCATGTCATCACACTAGAATAGCGGGATTCCCCCACCTAGCTCTGAGGAGTCCCCCAGCCACCTCTTACCCACCTGTTCTGGCAGGAGCGTTGTAAGAAGGAGGGATGCGCCTGTGAAACTCTGCAGATTCTGGAAGAATCGGCTCCTAGTGAGGGCACCTCCATTATCCCGTCACGGTAGTTCCTGGGCGCAGTAGGTTAGAGTGATTCTGAGAGCTGCCTGGGTTCCAAATCTTGGCTCTGCCTTTGCCTAATGAGTGACCTTAGGCAAGTCATTGAACCTCTCTGAGCCTGAATACTGTCATCTGTAAAACGAGACAGTGCACACAAAACTCTTCATCAAGTGTCTGGGACCCACAATACCTGTGAATCACTTCCCTTCCCAGGAAGTCAGCATTACTACTGTTAATAATCAGAGGAAAACTCTCTCGTAGCATCGGAACCGGGAGAACGGGGCTAGAACAACACAGTCCCCACCCTGGCTCCATTCCCTGAGTCGGTCAGTGCCCAGACTGTTACAGAAGAGTGTGTAGGAGAGTGGGGGGCACAGGAGGTAGCAGGAGGGACTCCTAATGTGGAGAAAGGGGTGCTGGAGGAAAAGACAGCTGAGTTTTCGTAGGGAAAGCAGACGAACTGGAGTGGATATTCTAGGCTGATGGTCTGCAAAGTCCGTCTGCCTGAGCGTAAGGTGCTTTCGAGGCGCTGCAAAAGAACGCTGCAACTGGGGCTTCAGGTGAGGAGCGTTTTGGATGCTGAGGCTGGAGAGTATCCAGAAATCAGACCCTGAGGGCACGTGGGTGCCACGCTGAGGAGTTCAGGCGTCGTCCTGAAGACTTAGGACCATGGACGATTGTTAGCTGGGGACAGATACGGTCCCGTTTTTGTTGGAGGAAGATGGTGCTCTAGGGAGCTGACGGGATGTCCTAGGCAAGAGTTTTTCTCCTCTGAAGAAGAACAGGGCTGGTGGGCTCAGGCACGAGATGAGTGGGGGGGGGGGGATGGTCTTCGGCGGTGTCCTGTCTCTGTTGCAGCTTGTTTTCGGGCCGGGTACCCTTCCTTCCTATGACATCCCCTGCCACCTGAGCCTGGAGCACAGTGGGTCCCGCCTTCTGCTCGTGCTGTCCTGTCCTGTGCGAGAGAGTGTGCCACGCCTTCCCTGCCCAGAGGGGAATTCTGGGACATAGAATTTCACTTACAGTGAAATCCTGACAACCAGGCTCACTTGAAAAGGAAGTATTGTAACAAGGCCTGATGGGATATGCTGAAATGAGCTAGATAGATGAGTTCATTGAAATTGGGGGCAGGGCAAGGGGCACAGCTCTCTGGGGCAGCATTGTCAGGAAAGGCTTCCTGGAGAAAGCAGACTTTGAACGTGGCCTTGGAGGCAGCTTAATTGCTGGACCCTCCATTATAGTCTCTGAGGGCAGGTCCTGTGGACCCGCTCCTACGCTTAAGTCACAGCTTTACTTTTGTTTGTAACCATTTCCCCCCACAAGACCCTATGTTCTGTGGGGGCAGAGAACAGACGATTTTCCTCACCCCTGAATCCCTTGACCCAGCACCCCGTGGGCCCTCCGTCTTTGTTGGATTAATTAATGTGTGAGTGTGTGTGTGAGTGAGTGAGTGGTGGGAAAGAAGGGGTAGAACCTTCAGCGGACAGAAATGATGCAAGCAAAGGGTCGAGGCCGGAACACCGTGTAGTCGCCCCTGATGTTTGCACGAGGCTGCACTGCCCACAACGTGCACTAACGCACGGTCTTGTGTGACCCCTGACGCCAGCTGCCTTGTCCGACCCTCCGCAGTGAGCAGGGCAGGTGTTAGTCCTGTTTTACGACGAGAAAACAGTGAGTCCGATGGTTTGCCCCAAGTTTCACGGCTACTTAGCGTGAGTCCAGACTCGACCCCGATGTTTGAGCAAGAAGTCTGGTGCAAAAACTAGATTCCCATCCTCCTCGGCCTTTCCCAAGGGGAACGTGGGGAGACATCCACGGAGATCGGGGGCCGAGTTATAGAAGGCCTTAGGTTTCAGGCTGAGGAGTTTGGACTTTATCTTCTAGTTGGTGACAACCTTTAGGAGTTTTTTTTTTTTTGAAGCTGTTTAATAAAGGATAAATATTAATGGTATTTGTAAGGTACAGTGTAAGTTTAATTGCACATTAATATTTATTTAAAGTAAACATCCGAAAAGTAAGTTTAATTATAAGAACCAGGAGTCAAAGAAGTCATCCCTCCTGGATGCAGAGGGTTGCGCATCACGTGCCACTGGGGGCAGCACTCTATTCTGGGCATCACGCTAGAGGCCCAGGACACAGAGGTGACCGAGACGCAGGTCATTGTCAGGGTGCAGTGCGATCGTGGGAGCAGCTACAGCCAGCTCAGGGTTCACTGTTGCGGCCCGACTGATGGAGGCTCTGTGTGCCAGCTGAGAAGGTCCCGGTGGTGGCAGCGCCCGCAGCAGCCCTGCAGCCTTAGCTCTGGGGCCGCCCCAGAGCCGCGTGCAGCTGCCGTGGACAGAC